AGAATGTGCATTTGCGGTGTATTACATTTTACATTATGTGTCCAAACTCTCCAAATAGAGCAATGAGCAAATGCCATTGTCAAATGGGGCTGGTGAAGGGTTCAGAGGTAGGGCCAAACTAGATCCTCAGGGGGAGCAGGACATTGGCACAGAGCCTTTGGTTGGTACATCTGCTTTGCAGCCTAGAGGCAGGCAGAGAGTGCTAATGGTCTGGGGCAAGCATAAAATTGGGTTCCCTGAGGAAATTCTTAAAGATTTCAAGAAGTGTTGCCATAATGAAAGAGTTCAAGGAGGACCAAGAAGTACCATTTATTTATTTATTTTAGTATTTATTTTAGTGGTATTTATGGGTTTAGTAGTTAGAGAAGAAGAGGGAGAAGGGATCGAAAGTGCACAACAACACAGTTATGCACCTTACCCAAATATTAAGTCACGCTGGAGATGAGATCTTGTTTGGAGACCCCCAAAGTTAGTGGCTGGCTAAGAATGAAAATGAGGGTCAAATTCTTCTGGTTTTGATCAGAAGCTTGATCCAGATTTCTACATAGACTCTCTAATCTTCATTCATGTTCGTAAACACAGGCTGGTCAGTATTCTAGAAAACTGGTTAGTTTCATTCTCTCTATGAAACTAACTTTGCCATAATTTTTATGCTGCTCAGAAAGCAGATCTCTTTGAAAGAAGACAGGATCTAGATTCTGTAATGGAATGGCATTATGTAGGAATGAGTAGACCCAGCAGAATTTTCACAACAGGGAAGACAAATTGAGCAGTTCATGGTAGTGTAATCGTGGCCACATTTTCTAAGGCTTTTCATTTCCTTTTTAATAGCTTTCTAAAGAATTAATGATTCCAATTCTTTTGCCATGTTATGCTTTTTACCTGAAAAAGTGATATTTAAAACATATGACATCATTATTTAATTTTAATATTTAAAACATATCAAAATATTATTTAAGAACTATTTTCAAGTAAAATAGAATTTCATAATATCTATTCCATTCCCAGAAGTATAGCATGATTTATAGTCCATGGGTACATTGTAAATAATGGGAATGACATATGGTTGTAAATTTGAGTCTTTTTTACTCATCAAACTTGTTTTGTTGCATAAAATAGGCTGATATGAATAACCACTTACAGAGGTTATGGATCATGCTGCATTGATTTTTTTTTTTTTTTTTTTTTTTTTTTTTTTTTTTTTTTTTTTTTTTTTTTTTTTTTTTTTTTTTTTTTTTTTTTTTTTTTTATTTTCTTTTCTTTGGGTAATCTTTAAAATGGTTTCAACTTGCAGAAAACATTTCTAGTGTCACATGAACTTCTGAAAGAAAATCTTTACCACGGAAATTTTGATAAAACTTTGTAAAACTGTGGTGGAGTCAGAATCTGCACTTCTTACAGATATTTTTCAGTTGATAGAAAAGTTACTGAACCAGAGAGATAGAGTAGACTAGATTTTGTTCTTAGAGTCCAGATGTACATTGACAATATTTAAAGCATTGATACATGTTTCAACTTTGGGCTGTCTTTATCCCAGGATAAAACGTTAGTGTCAAAGGCAAGGCTTTACAACTCTAGTTGTCTTTTAGCTTTCAGTTTCCTGATATCCCACAGAATTATATTCCTCTGGCACCACATGGCACTGAAGTAATTCTAACTGATTATTTTAAGTGAGTTAAATTTGTTCAACCTCTTCAAAAGATCTGAGCACCTGAGTTAGTTAGAACAATTAAATCCTCCAGTGCCTTTGCATAAAAGCTGACAAGCTTATTGAGATTTAGCATTTTATTATAGTAGAATATTTATACAAGGGTGTGCTGAAACAGAATTCTGATCTTTGAGTGTATTATTAACCAACGCGCTTTGTGCAGTATGTAGAAGAGGTGAAAATTTGTTAGCAGGGTGTGTGTAATTTTTAATTTGCCAGTATATTTCAAGATACTGTAGATGTGTGATTCACATATGCAAATTTTTTCTTTGAAATAGACTGTGAAAGTTTTCCATCAGCACCTTACCCAAATATTAAGTCATGCTGGAGATGAAATCTTGTTTGAAGACCCCCAAAGTTAGTGGCTGGCTAAAAAAGAAAATGAGGGTCAATTTCTTCTGGTTTTGGTCAGAAGCTTGATTCAGATTTCTACGGAGAGACCCTCTAATCTTCATTCATGTTCATAAATGCAGGCTGGTCCATATTCTAGGAAACCAAGTTAGTTTCATTTTCTGTATCAAACTAACTTTGCCATAATTTTTATTCTGCTCAGAAAGCAAATCTCTTTGAAAGAAGACAGGTTCTAGATTCTGTAATAGAATGGCATAGGGGAGGGTCTAACAAGGTGGAGTTCCCAAACTCCACAGCATTAAGGATAGGAATGGAACACACCTGGATGCAGGTATGGTAGAACCCAAAGAGAAAAGAGAACATTTTCTTATGCCTTTTTTTTTAAATCAAAAGGATTTTCCCAGCACAAGGGTGGAGAATTTTTATAAAGGAACTTTTTGCAAGTTCTGGTTCCAACAGTGTCCTTATTGAGAAGAGCTAGATGATATTTAAGAACAATGCCAGCTTTATATCATGAAACAACCTTCTGTAATAATTAGATTGTTTTGCAAAACTAGGGAAGAAAGGAGACTAATTAAAAATCTTCTTAATTGCTTTTATATTATTTTTTGATTGCATAGAAACACACATACACGAATGTGTTCAAACACCCCAGCTGACCCTAGTTCAGCACTATTTTTGTGTAAGCCACGTGGATTCTGTGGAAGAGGGTTAAGTGCACCATGTTATTGCAGATAGTCTTCAAAACAGCAATCCAAGGTCACATGTTTATATCAGAAAGTTAGTTGTACTAAAATGAATTTAGGAAACACAACTTTATTTTCTTCCCTGTCTGTACTTCCAAACAACCATGGTCTAAGCTATATTATGATTTTCTTTTTTACAAATTGATTCCATATTAAAGTTCTGAGACCACTAACTTTTATAAATTATTTTTAGCTATTATATAGAAATATTTCTTTTTAAAACCCAACATTTTTTTATGGAGAATTTTAAATATATGCAAAAGTAGAGAGTAGCAAAATCTATCCCCATATATCCACCACCCAGCTAATCATTCAAGAATGGTCAATTGTGTTTCTTCCTTACACCCACACATTTGCTGCTCCTCACTACATTATTTCAAATTGTAAATAAGAGAGTAACATTACTTCCTTAACATCAAATAGCTAGTCCCTTAAAAAATTTCCCTAGTTGTCTCTTTGTTGTTTTTGGTATAGTGGTTTATTTGTTCTATATTTAAACAAGGTTCATGGGTTATATTTGGTTGATCTGTTTCTGAAGTCTCCTAATTTATACTTTACCTTTCTTTTTTAAAATTTTTTTACATTGATTTGCTGAAGAAACTCAGTTCTTTTGTCCTTTATTTTCTTGTCTGTATTTTTTCTGATTGACTGTATCTTCCTGGTATTATTTAACATGCTCCTTTGTCTCTTTTTATCCTTAAATCTGGTAGCTAGATACAGAGCTTGGTGTGATTGCTTTTTCTTTCTTTCTCTTTCTTTTTCTTTCTCTCTCTTTCTTTCTTTCTTTCTTTCTTTCTTTCTTTCTTTCTTTCTTTCTTTCTTTCTCTCTCTTTCTTTCTTTCTTTCTTTCTTTCTTTCTTTCTTTCTCTCTCTCTCTTTCTTTCTTTCTTTCTTTCTTCTTTCTTTCTTTCATTTCTCTCTCTCTCTCTCTTTCTTTCTTTCTTATAAACAACATTTCATTAGCTGTATTTGGTGCTCCATCACAAAGCATATATTCTGGTTATCTCCCTTTGTGTGATTTTAGTGTCCATTGATGATCATTGCCTGGATCTGACATTGCATTAGGGGTTTGCAAAATGGTAATCTTATCATTTCATTATTTTTAATTGATTAGCTGAAGTATGCACATATATAGAGCAATTTCCCCTCATCAACTGTAAATATTTAGTTGATGAACTATTTAGTTGATGAAGCAGATTTCATACAGGAAAGGCAGATTAAATGTCTAAGTTGTCCCTTTGTTAGTTTTCAGAATATAATTATGACATTTCCCAATGTGACAGATGAATTTTTCTTTTTAGTATCCTTATGAACTCATGAATTTTGACATTAGATGTATTTGAATATATTGCACTTTTCTCCAGTTTACTTTTTCAACTTACACTATATCCTAGAGGTTATTCTGTTGCATATAAAAAGATGTATTTAATTTTTTTACACCTACATACATTTGCATTGTGTAGATTTACCATACATTATTCAACCAGTATCCTCTTGATGAACATTAGGCTTTACATCTTTTTGATAACATGAAAGTGCTACAGTGAATGTTGAATTGTAAACAATTCATATCCAGTTGTATTTCTGGCAAAGACGTTTAGAAATGGAATTCTTGGTCCAAAGGGAAAATGTATGTAGAATTTTGCTAGATATTGCCAAATTTCCCTCTATAGGTATTGTGCCATTTTGCAAATGCATGTTAATTGCATGAAGAAAGACTGGAAACATTTGTGTAGAATATAAAGACTAAATATGATCTAAGGTCAACAAACACAAAGAATTATCTAACGTCAACAAACACAAAGAATTATCTATGTTGTGGCCAGGTGCGGGGGCTTACGCCTGTGATCCTAGCACTTTAGGAGACTGAGGTGGGCGGATCTTGAAGTCAAGAGATGGAGACCATCCTGGTTAACATGGTGAAACCCCGCCTTTACTAAAATACTAAAATTAGCTGGGCATGGTGGCACATGCCTGTAGTCCCAGCTACTCAGGAGGCTGAGGCAAGAGAATCACTTGAACCTGGGAGGCGGAGGTTGCAGTGAGCAGAGATCATGCCACTGTACTCCAGCCTGGCGACAGAGGGAGACTGTGTCTCAAAAAAAATAATAATAATAATAATAAATATATATATATATACATATATATTGTATTTTTTATTTAAGCTCCTCTCCTTTTTGACAGTTATTTGCTTATATGATAACTGTCTTGATAGGAACTTGTATCATAAGATAATGTTTACTGTCTAATACATTACAATTGTATAATGCAACATTATCAATATTCAAACACATTCTCATTTATTAAGGACTTTTAGGAAGCAGGCTTTGTTTCCATATAATCCACCTTGTTATCGTAAAACTTGACAAGAACAGAAGTTACAAATGTGTTCATTGTTCAGACCTCATAGTAGACATTACCCCTTTTTGTCATAAGCCATAATCTATACATTATGAAACCATCTGAGAAACTTATTTACTATCTTTTAAACTAGAGAATAATTAAAAAATATAAATGTTCTTTGAAATATTTAGATTTTCTTCCTAAGGGTGTCTTAGCATGGATTGATATACTCCTATGGCATAAAGCTATTGAGTAATTAGCAATGAGATGACTGAAAAAACCCAAAGTAATAGTTCTGTGTCCTTCTTAAACCAGGACTCCTAAATCTGCTTTTCTTTATTGATATAATGAGTGGAGAATTAATTTTAAAAGGTGGTGGCTATTGATTACTTAATGGAAGATGATAGTGTAGAGAAATGCTGAAGTGAGTCTATTCTGTGCCCTCCTGTGCAACAGGACCCATTATCCAGTGGTGGAAATCATACCCTAACTCTCATTAATATTTAACAGGCTAGATGTAGGCTACAAAATTGCCTTGGGCATGGACTCCAATCGGACATAGAATGGTTTTAAGTATATAAAAGAGTAATAGATTTCCCTGTGTTCAGATTGTTTATAAGCAGGACAACAATACACTCAATTCCCTTCTGTGATTGCTGAGCAATGACGGCCAGATGGAAAGGCCTACTAGGCAAGCTGGAGTGATTAATACTCTGGGAAGCCACTCTAGACTAGTCAGTACTACATAAGAAGACTGTATTTTCCAGTGTGGTTCTCAATTTCAGCTCTTCGCTTCCGCTTCTCTCACCACAGGCTGAAGGGCTTGTTCAGCAGGGGTGGCAAGTCAGCAAAAGGCGCTAATTGTGTCTAACACAGACATCGTCCTTGGGGCAATATTCTGTATTACACCGTCTATCAAGCTAACCCCTTTTCATATGTCAGGATCTTTTTATTTCAGTTCATTTAAAAGGGAAACAAGGATTTTTAAAGATAGCTGGTAGGGAGACAGAGCTTCTAAGGACTAGGAGCCCTTGAAGCTGACTTGTACTAAAATGGACTGTGATTTCTGAAAGGACAATATAGTAGATCCTCCAATAATATCATTTCCTCCAATATCATTTTGTTATAATAACATTGATGGAGGAAAAAAAATCAGTTCCTGACCAGGGTCACTGTCTGTGCAGGGTCTGCACAGTCTTCTCATTTCTGTGTGGATTTCCTCCCACATCCCAAAGAAGTGCATGTCAGGTCAACTGGCATGTCAAAATCGCTCCCCGACGAGTGAGTGTGGATGTGTGCTTCAGTGCGCCCTGCAATGGAACGGCACCCTGTCCAGGGCTGGTACCTGCCTTGTGCCCTGAGTCGTGGGGATAGGCTCTAACCACTCACAGCAACCCTGAGCTGGTATAACTGGGTAAATAATTATGTTAGTTTTTAAAATTAATCTTAAATGTACGTATGGATCACGTTTGTTTCCATGTTTACCCTCAGAAGTGTTTGGGTCTTTATTTAGTAATTTGATGATGTTTTTGTGACAAAAAATAGGTCATAGAAACTTGTTATTTGAACTTGTTATTTCAAGTAGCCTATGGTAAAGTGGATTATAACTGGTTTTGCTTAAGGTAGCAGATTCCAAGATCCTATCAATAGCATTAAGGGAGAACTTGTACAAGATTTTATAGATTACTGACTCCCATTATTAGCTGTCTAAATTACCAGATTATATGTCAGTACCACCCATTTATTCTTAAAATATGATAAGCTTGAAATGAGATAAAGGCCTTTAGAAAGAAAATATTCTTGGGATTTATGGGTACACAAAGAATACAACATCAGATATCCAACTTCTTAAAAATGCATAAAATTAGATAGTGAAGAAATATCAATTTTTTGACTCAATGACTCTAAAGAATTTTAAAATGTGTTTAAGAGATTCATTTATTTTGTCGCCTATCAGGAATTATTTATAATTACCTGCCTAAAATGAGTTGCATAATAAAAATTTAGCTTTGAAGGCAAAAGGTATTCAAGGCAACATCTTCTATTAACATACCGAGCTTTTTCTCAAAACCAGTGAATGAAACTGATGCAGAGGTCTCATTGTAATTCTATGTCAAATGTGGAAAAATTCAGTTTTACTCCCAACCTTGGATTGTGCATACCTAAATGCTGCTTTCAATTTATTAATGAGTCTATGTGTGTGCCTTCTGTTTCTGAAATCCAGCAGAGAATTTCAAATGATCAATAGTTGGTAATAGAATATATACTTGTTCTTTTTTTTTTTTCTTAAAACAAAGTAGATCTTTTATTTTCACTTTTAAGTTTTGGGGTACATGTTCAGGATGTACCCCATTTTTGTTACATAGGTAAACATGTGCCATGGTGGTTTGCTGCACCTGTCAACCCATCACTTAGGTATTAAGCCCATCGCCCATTAGCTATTTTTCCTGATGATCTGCCTCTCCCCGCCCTCCTCCCCACAAGCCCCAGTGTGTGAACAGACTTGATCTTTGTGAGGCATAATGGTGGATCTAGTTAGATGCTTGCTTTTTGTTTGTGTGTTGCGTTGTTGTTATTTGTTTATTGGCTGGTTGGTTAGTACTACATGCCACTAAGTTTGTGGTTAGCTCATTTCAAGGGGCTTTAGTTTAGAATTTATGGATTCTTCAGCTGCCACTTCCAAGAACAAAATTAAAATCATAAATTTAAAATAATTTAACCAAGATTTTCTTCAAGGTGCTTACTTAACACTATAACATAGAAAGACATTTTATCAGCTGTAAGTATAAACATGTTAATTGTTGTATCTTCACAGCCTTCGAATATTCCAGAGAGAAGAGCTTTTTAAACCCTGTATTTGCAAAATATGGGGCTTGTTCAGCTATAATCTAATATATTAATCAGTTTGGGTAGTGAAAATAACAAACTCTAAGTTTCCTTTCCTTTTTCTTTTCTATTTTATAGCGAAGCAGCAGTTTTGGGAATTTTGATCGTTTTCGGAATAATTCTATATCAAAACCAGATGATTCAACTGAGGTTAGTATTTTATTCCATTTTTATGAATATCATGCAAACACATTATGAAATACGAAGACAGTGTCATTTTTGCAAAGTACAATAAGAAAAATAAATACATTTTAAAATTATAGCCTTGCACATATTTTCATGATAAATGAACAAACCATTATTAAGTACTGTTGTAGAGAAAAAGGGGGTTCTTGTCACATGACCAGGAAAATTTAGGCCCACAGACACATTGTAGGGTGAGTAGGGCAGGGTTTATTGTGTGAAAAGGAAAGAAGGAAAGAGGAACTCTCAGCAAAGCGAGAGTCCTCCCTACCTTACAGATTGACTCCTTGGCCACTTCAAAGGAACAGAAGAGGCCAGGCTCCTCCCGCTGCAAAGGATGGGAACTCCCGTAGCTCCACCAAATTCCCCCAGTGCACAGGTGGACATTATTCAGAGAGAAGCAGTTGGGAAAGGGTTGGCTTCATCCAGGAGCAGCAGTCTGGTTTTTCAGCCTTCAGGCTGTTTTAGGCTTGAAAGTGACGTTTCACCAGGGACCCTCGGCTGTCTCTTGTTTCTATCAGTATCCAGTATCATGCAGGGCATTAAAAGTAAAATGCTATTTTAAGAAACCTAACAGATGTTTTGGAAAGCAAAATATACACATAAAAAGATAGAATTCAAAACACTGACAATTCCAAATTTCCTGAGTATTACTGCCATAAAACAATGTGCGTGTGTGTGTGTGTGTGTGTGTGTGTGTGTGTGTGTATATATATATATATACACACATATATATATATATACACACACACACACACACACATATATATATATACACACACACACACACACCCCAACATTGTATTTGTACACATTATTTAGCATATATATATAATTTTATATAAGTTGTAATTGCTTCAAATTAGAAAATTATTAGATGGCTCAACTGTAAATTTGTTAATGAGAGCATATGGCTGTCCAATTGGACTCTCACACTTCAGTGTATACTGAAACATTCCATTGGTGAGCACTACATTCATATTAATAAACTACGGCTGGGCGCGGTGGCTCAAGCCTGTAATCCCAGCACTTTGGGAGGCCGAGGCGGGTGGATCACGAGGTCAAGAGATCGAGACCATCCTGGTCAACATGGTGAAACCCCGTCTCTACTAAAAATACAAAAATTAGCTGGGCATGGTGGTGCGCGCCTGTAATCCCAGCTACTCGGGAGGCTGAGGCAGGAGAATTGCCTGAACCCAGGAGGCGGAGGTTGCGGTGAGCCGAGATCGCGCCATTGCACTCCAGCCTGGGTAACAAGAGCGAAACTCCGACTCGGAAAAAATAAAAATAAAAAAATAATAAACTACAAACATTTTAAATGTAGCTTAAGAAAAGCTTCCCATAAAATTAGGTTTACATACAAAAAATTTCAATAATATGTACATTTAATGGAGCACTCACCATGAAATAAGCACAATGCTAAATTTACCTCTCTATAACAATTTACCTATCTATAACATAGGAAGTATTAGTGTATCTATTTTGCCATTGTGGAAATATGCTTGCTTCATCCAATAAAATTACTTCTAAATTACAGAGTGAATAAATGACAAAGGCAGAACTCTAACTCTTCTCTGACTCCAAAGTTTGCCATACTATCTCATAAAGCAGGGGCCACATTTGCTCAGTGATTAATGACAGGTATAACAACAACTAATAAAATAGTACAGAGATAGGGTGTCTACTGAGAAAACAGAAAATACTGTTTATGATTGAACCTGATTCAGCAAGCTCACAGGCAATATATTCTTTTCAGATCAATAGGTTTTTAGATCTTATGCTTATTTTCAGATATATCTATCTGTAATATTTTAAAATATTTTAATTTTAGTAATTATCTCCTTTTATTTATTATATATATATTCACATTTATGAGTAAACTTGTACATAACTATATAGTTAATCAACATTTACATAATTGTAAGTAATACATGGAATATATACACATAAATCTCTCTCTCTCCATATATGTGTCTGTGTGTGAAGAGAGAAAGAAGCTGTATATAATTTTATTTTCAGTTGGCATCTTGTGTACATTTTTAACTCTCCACAATCATACATATATTCTGCTATTTAGTTTATAATTCTGGAATTAGCCTACATAAGATAGCTCAGGTTCATTCAGGGTCATTAGTTAATAATGGTGGCCTAATAATTTGTAAAAGAATTTAATGAACCTAATAAAGTAGTTTGCATATTTTTCAAAAGTCCAGCATTCATTCAAAAAATATGCCTACTCTATGACAGGTTTTCCCTTACTCAGGAAGTACTGTTGCAATTACACATGAAAATCCTTATCATACCTGGAGTCTACAGGGGAAGACAAATCTTAAAAGGACAACAAACCCATAAGTAATATCTAAATAGAAATTTGATTCAGGCTATGGAGAACAGAATAGAAAAATGTTAACATTCAAAAGACACAAACATAGTTTCTTTGTAGCTACTGTAAATAATGATAGAAAAACGTAAAAAAATATTTGTGGTACATTTTTCTGAAGTTTAGAAATCACAGGGTAACATAAGTAGTAATTAAATAACATTTCTTATATTAGTTAGCAAAATAATTCTACAATGAAGACAGAGAATGTTTAAGTAGAGAGAAGAAAAAGGCTAACTCTAAAATTTTAAAGTGCTTCCAAATTATATTTTATTCGGGGCTTTTGAATTAAGCAAAGAATCTTTGCCTTTATAACCTTGAATGTAGAAATTAATAAAGAGCAATGAGGGTTTAAATTGGCTGTCCATTCATATTTATCATAGGCAATTTGGGGTAAGATATGAAGCAAAATATAATATTGATTAATAATGATATTAACTATGTGGTTAAACTTTTATATTAAAATAGTCAAGTTCACTAAAGAGAAGTTTCCCATCGTTTTTTATATTCAGTGAATGACTGCCTGTCCATCTATCAGGAATGGTGGGCAGTGCCAAACTAGATGACCTTCAAGTTTCTTTTCTTGCAAATATAAGGTATTTTAAAATATGTAACCCAAACATATCCTACAAGAAAAAAATATCTTCAAAGTTCTACATAAGAAGTTTCATTTATTCACATAATATCTAGTGCTAGCTATGTGCCTGGAAGTACTTAGACACTCAAAGAAAACAGATAAAATCTCGAGTCTCATGGAGCATGTATCATAGTAGGAGATGTAGATAATAATCAAATGAAAAAACATATTATCAGATAATGTTAACTGCTTAGACTAATAATTAATCAGGGCCAATAAACAGGATGTATGGAAGTGTGAAGGGTGATCAATCAGAAAATTGCTCTCCTATTATATGACATGTGAGTAGAAGCCTGGATGACTCATGGAAGAAATTCTTGGATATCTAGGGGAAGCCAATGGCAAAAGCAAATACAAACTTTGGTGAGAACCTGAGAGAGAAACTGCAAGGGGATCAGCATAGCAATACTTTTTTACAGTTGTTTTCAAACTTTACTGAGTATTGGAATCACTTGAAGAGCTTGCTAAGCACAAACTGCCCTCAAGTGATGTTGATGCTGCTGGTCCAGGGATCATATTTTGATAACCACTGCTCTAGTGAGCAAGGGAGACCTAAGAAAAAGCTAGGGGTGAGGTGGGTGATGAGGATATTTTATTCCATATAGATTCTATATAATGTGACATATATCACATTTATACATATTAATTTTGTTAACAGAACATTGTTTTATGATATATAGAGTCTTGTGGCTGTGAACAGTGTATTTTATTCTGAGTCATTGGTTTAACAAAATTCCTAAGCACAGACAAAAGCAGTCCAAATAAGATGTTTGATTAATATAGCATGTGAATTACATAAAGATTTCTGTACTGATGGCTGGAACCAATTCATATTTACTATTGATTGAGAATGTGGGAAATGTTCATGCTAAGATGAAAAAAAAAAAAAACCCTAATGTTTCTCAGTGGATTTCATTAACACAAAAAGTTCTTTAAAAATAACCACAATCATCTAAATTTCTATGAGAAGCAGGAGGATATTTTTAGGCCCATTCAACTCAGATAGATGCTACAGCCTATTTAAAGCTTCCAATAAAATGTTTTTTTTATCTGTGTAGATACAATAACTCCTTATACCTGGTATTTAATCTTATTTGTTTACCTCAAGAAGAGGTAATAAAATGGTTCTTCAATACAGCAATTTAAAAAATAGCCAAAATTCTCTAAAAGAGTTGCAGATGTGAGGCTCAAGTCCTTCAGTATCACAAGGTTTACTTTTCAAGTTTATAACAAAAGCAACCAGGCCTAGACAACTTTAAAAATATGTGTATGTCCATGGAGGCTGCTGCACAGAATGCATGGGAAGTTCACAAACTCAGAATGCTCCCTGTAACAATGATTTCAGATGAATGTTTTTTATGGTTTTATTATTTTGTCTTTTATAAACAATTTTAATCTAGGTACGTGATGGAGATCCCATACATGAAAGTGGAGAACCAAATAAAACTTCAAATAATGGAGGAGGTTTGGGTAAAAAAATGAGAACTATTTCTTGGACAATGAAGAAAAAAGTGGGTAAAAAGTACATCAAAGCCCTTTCTGAGGAAAAGGTAAGTATTCTCTATTATATCATTTGTATTTTTTTACTAAATCTTTCTAAAACTGTTCAGCTGGATTATAGAAGTGCTTGGTGCTTTATGAAGTACTTAAGCACCTGTTTTCTTCCTTAGTCATTATGCCCAGAAGTTGGGTGGAAGGAAGTATTACTTTCATTTTAACAGAAGAAACTAACACTAAGAAAGACCATGCATCAGCCAGGCATGGTGGCTCATGCCTGTAATCCCAGCACTTTGGGAGGCCGATGTGGGCAGATCATGAGGTCAAGAGATTGAGACCATTCTGGCCAACATGGTGAAACCCCATCTCTACTAAAAATACAAAAATTAGCTGGGCGTGGTGATGCATGCCTGTAGTCCCAGCTACTCGGGAGCCTGAGGCAGGAGAATCACTTGAACCTGGGAGGCAGAAGTTGCAGTGAGCCAGTGTACTCCAGCCTGGCGACAGAACGAGATTCCACCAAAAAGGAAAAAAAAAAAAGATCACCCATTTCTAGATGCATGTGAACAACATGTCATTAATTTTGTAGCAAGTATCAGTACTTCATTCATTTTTATTGCCAAATAATATTTCTCCTTTATGGACCACATTTAATATATCCACTTATCAGTTAATGATCAGTTGGGTTGCTTTCACTTTTTGGCTATTATGAATAATGCTGCTACAAATACTTCTGTTCAATTTTTTGTATGAAAATATTTTTTCATTGCTCTTGGATATATGGTAACTCTGTGTCTAACAGAGAAACTGGGAAATTGCTTTCCTAAGCAGCTGCGTCATTTTACATTCCCACCAGCAATGAATGAGGGTTTCAATTTCTCCATATCATTGCCAATACTTGTTATTGTCTGTCTTATTAATACTAGCCATCCTAGTGGATGTGAGATGGAATCTCATTGTGATTTTGATTTACATTTTTTTGTACTTTACATTTTCCTGATGACTAATAATGTCAAGAATCTTTTCATGTGCTTTTTAGCCATTTATATATCTTCATAGAGAAGTGTTTTTCACATCCATTGTCCATTTTTAATTGGGTTATTTATCTTTGCATTTTAAATGTTTTTTATATATTCTGGATACAAGTCCTTTATTAGATATATCACTTGCAATATAATATATTTTCTCCAGTTCCATGGATTATATTTTTATTTTCTCCATGGTATTGTTTGTAGCACAAGTGTTTATAATTTTATTGTATTCCAGTTTTCTTTTTGTGGTCACTGGTGCTTTTGGTAACATATTTAAGAAACTGTTGTCTAATCTAATGTAATAAATAATTATTCCTATGTTTTCTTTTAAGAGGTCAATAGTCTCATAAATTTTGGCGTATGATTCATTTCAAGGTAATTTGACTGTATGGTATATAGGAAGAGTCTACCTTCATTCTCTTGCAAGTAGATATACAGCTGCCCTAACACTATTTGTTGAAAAGATGATTCTTTTCCTATTTCATTGTCTTGGCACTCTTGTTAAAAATCAATTGACCATAAATATATTGTCATAAATATACAGATCATAAATAAGTGGGTTTATTTATGGGCTCTCAATTCTACTTTATTGATTTTTATGTCTTATGTCCATTCTCTTTTTCAACCCACTTCAATAAGGCTCTGCCCCCAGTACGCCATTAAAATAGCTGTCACCATCTGTAGTGACATCTGTATTGTCAAATCCAATGGTCACTTTTCTTTCTCCTTACTACTTTTCAGTTGTATTCAACCCAAGTGCTGATATCCTTACATATAAAACATTCACTTTTCTTGGCTTCTTTGACTTGGCATACTTCTGGCATTTATTCTTCCTCATAGTTTCCTTTCTTGGCTCTGCTTTCTTTTTCATCCCTTGAAACATTGGATCTTCCTGAGGCTTGTTTCTGGTTGCTCCATGAATTTACCCTCTCCTCCTAAGTCAGCTCATCTACTCTCATGACTTTGTCTTCAACAAATATATCTCTAGCAATGACCTCTTCACTTATCTGTTGTATTTATATAATCAATTTCTTATTTGATATTCTCATTTAGATGTGCAGTATACATCCAAAACGTAATATATCCAAAGCTAATATATCAATTCTCTATGCTTTTACCAAAAAAAAAAAAAAAAAGGTTTTCTCATCCAGTATTCCCCAGTGGCAGCAGACAACACTGATTTTCAAAACAAATAAAAACAAAAATATAAAAAAGAGGAAAAAAGAAAAGAAAATCTAAGAATCACCCTAAACTTCTTCTTTTTCTCACTTTTCACACAAATTCATCAGTAAATTGTCTTAATTGTATTATCAAGTATATATAAACTCTCTAATTTCTCCATGTAAACTATTCCTGCTTTAGACTAAGTAACCAACTGTTCTTTCCTGGATTACTATAATAATCCCCTGATTGCTTCCCATGCTTTTTATTCTTTCTCACATAAAATTTATTCTCCATATGAAAGCCAAAAATATCTCTGACAAGTAGAAATCTGGTCATGGTTGAAATTTCACAGTGTCTTCATAATGCACCCCTTTACTTGGTGTGCTCATTCTAGTCCTCTGAGAAGCAGATCCTAAGAAAGGAATAGAAACACGAGAGATTTATAGGGGGAAATGCTAGGAAGGCCAAAGAAGAGAAAGCCTTTAGACTGCAATGCAAATCTGACATCTGTAAAAGGACAGGGAAAAGGAAGAAGGATCAGGTAGAGAGAGTCTCATACTTCAGCAGAATTCTGAGAAAGCTTTGGTCAGATTGATGGAGGATTCTTATACTAAAGCCTTCCATTACAGGAGCCCTGCATTCCACTAGGATGGGCTCAAACAATACCCCTACATTTTCAGTTACTGGCAGGGTATATGGCTTTACTGCAAACAGAGTGGTGGATACAGAGGGGCAGTCCTGGGGCTGTTAGTAAAGAAAGGTCCCTCAGCAAGAGATCTAAGTGGCACATTTACGTGGCCACCACACGTGGTCTAAAAAGCTTTTCTTGATGTGGCTCCAGTCTACTTCCCTAAACTTACGCACTAATATTCTCCTTTCTCTCACCACATTAGCCTTGTTGTTTTCCCCTGCACAACCCAAGCTAATTCTGAGTTCAGTTATTTTGCTCTTGCTGTTCCCTTTGCTTAGAAAACTGTCTCCAAAGCTTCATCTAAGTTACATTTTCTTTTCATTTAGGTCAATAATTGGGGGCATCCATTACCGTATGGCAGAGGTCTTTGAAGGGCACTCCATTTAAAGCAGCCAACCTGTAACCCTAACCTCAGCCACACATTCTCTCACATCACCCAGTGTTCTTTCTTAACACTTATTATTTTCTGAAATTGTCTTGCTTATTTTGTTTATACACACCTCCCCAAATACTCTACACACACAGACACGCAGATACACAACACACACAGCTAACACAATAGAATATCCTTCATTATAACAAGCACCCTGTTATCTTGTTTACTGTGATAATTCCGAGTTCCCAGAACATTGCCCAGGAGCTAGTAGGTGTTCTATAAACTTGTGTTGAATGGATAAAAGCAGAGAATCCAACTGAGTGTCTAGTATATGTATATTGTCAAGTTTTATCAACATTTAGAAATGCACACAAAGAATGTTGAATTACATTCTGATAATTATTAAGAAATTCATAAGTTTAATCCAAACTATTGAAATATGGAAAACACTAGAGATGTTTTCAAGAAAATATAATTTGTTTTGAAATTGTCTGTCTTTTCTAATTTTATGCAAGGTTTGCTTTTCACTTGACTAGGTGGCAAGCACAGTATTAGATGTGTAAAGCTTCTTAGATAAGCTTTGCTTTAGAATTGCAATATGTACATGTTTTATTCATATCTAGTGATCTGGTAGGGTGCAAATAACTCACATGAAACAACCATGCAGAGTTGAAGTTTATAGGATCAGTGGATTAGTAATGGTGGTAAAAAGAGGATAAGGACAACATGAAGAAGTAAATGTGTCTTAAAAGATAAACCATAGATGTTAATAAATCTAACATTTTTGATTAAATAGTATTGATATGATATTCATCCTGGTTTATAAAAGTGAGCCATTATAACTTCAACTGAATTCTAGAAAAAGGAATGTGTCATCTGAAGAATTTTTTCAAGTACACTGAAAAGGTTTTGCTAGAAATTGAACTGAAGATCAACTACTATCATATTTTATCCTTATGTATTAAGTATTTCATTGCTAAAATATGTCTTGTCTATTAAATCAATGTACACAATGAACATCTTCATGGAAATCTTCTCTCTGTACTTAACCTCTGGTTTGTTTTTCTGAAGGATGAAGAACATGGAGAGGATGCCCTTCCATATAGGAACAGTGACCCTGTGATTGGGACCCACACAGAGAAGGTGTCCCTCAAAGCCAGTGACTCCATGGATAGTCTCTACAGTGGACAGAGCTCATCAAGTAAGGTTAATGAATCAGGGACAAGATCCTGGGTGTGAGGTCTGGGTTTAATTCATTAAAAACAACAAGTTAAATTAGCAACAAGGTTTCAGCTGCTTGATAAGAGAAATAGTAAAATATTGTAAGATCTATTAAATCTATATAGAGCTGCTATTGTTTAAATAATACATAATCTATTTGACACAGTTATATATTGTGTTGAAACTTTTAACACTGTAGTCAACAACAGTGTAAAAAGTCGTATTAGGTGATTCAATCCGCATCTCTAAAATAAAAATCTTTGTTGGAGTGAGCCAGCTTTATCTTGAGTCAAAATATTTTAAAATTACTTAAAGTATTCAGATAAATGAAATTTATTTTCTGTTCTGTTCTCTGTCCCTTTCTTTCTCCCGCCCTCTTCCCTGCATCCCCCTCTCTCTTTCTCCCCCCACCGCTTTTCTTTTTTCCAGAAGTACTCTGAAAAAATGTAGCACATTTGCATCAATTTACTTTTACTGACATTTACATTTTAGATCTTAACCCAGAATTAATGAGTAAAGAGCGAAGCAATATGCAAATAATAAATGGTAGGAATGTCACCAATTAGGTGGCAAAAAGGGATCCATAACTGACAAACAAGGATTTTCTAATGAACATTAATAATTTTCTAAGAAAGAAATCACTCAGGATTTAGCCATTTTTCCAGCTACAATATTTGGATGAAAAGACTGATATTTCAGGGTTCCTTATGAATTTTTATATGTAGACTGTTATATATCTCACTAATCTTTTCAGAGCTTTTAAATGTTTTTGCAAAGTTTATTTTCCATTTCCTTTTAAATTGACTGCTTGTGTTATTTGAAGATGTATGGCAAGGACCAGATGTTTCAAATATCCTGAGTTTTATTCCTATTTTCCTATTTGCTGTAGAATAGTTATTTTGTGACAAAAGCTAACAAAAACATTTTTAAAGAGTATTTTTTTGCAAGTGTGAAATTCAGATCTCATTAGTATTCATTTCTGCTGGAAGTTTTAAAACTATATTGTGATGCTGAATGTGGGGAGAATTTTATTAACTAGAATGGACTGTGAAAATCCCTGGTCTGGAGTTGTCACAGAAGGGAGGGTGTGAAGAGATGGTGGCCCATTTTACTATTAGCATATACCACTTAATTTATGTGATTAGATGCAACTCACCTGTGTTTTACACCAGTTCACATACAATGTGGAGCATCTTGAAGGGTTTTTACCTTATTTCCACATTGCATGGTAGTGAAACCTGGGCTATTCCCTCTTTGAACAGAATAATGAAAGGCCAGACCAAGGAAGAAGTGATGACTGAGTATGAGGGTGGGGGAGGAGAGGTACTTCCACTGGGAGCCATTCTTGTTCCCACCAGGCAGATGGCAAAATGATATTTCTTTAGTCTTTTCCTTGAAGTTCAGAGCAGTTTTAAAGGCCCAGTTTCGAAGTTTCAAACCACTTGGGGGTGCAGACATTTGGACACACTTCCTCTTTCTTTTACACTCATACAACAAGCAAAAGTGCCACCTGTTATGGCAGAAATACTGACTCAAAATGGCCTTTGGTACACAGTGGGAACTCTGGCCGAAAAGGTTTGTGATAAGTTGTAGGAAACTTTGTAATGTCATGCTTTGAGCATTCATGATCAATAGCACACAAAATTCAAACTTGCTATCAGTTTCTGTCTTTGTTTGCACGTACAAAATTAATTACCTGGCTTGGTCAGTGGTTGTACCTGTACCTTCCTCCTCTTCGGCAAGTGTCCAATGCTTAGTATATTGTGTATTGGATCAGATTATGGAGAATGAAGTGAGAGGGTACTTGGGTTAGTAGTGGAAGAGAGACTGGCCAGATTGGCAGGAAAAAGATTAGAAATGCTCAGAGAACAAAGCTCACTGATAGAGAGCAACTGGGAGACCGTAACCAGGATGAGTCCATTAGAACCTCCTCATGAGCCTGGCATCCAGTGTTCCAGCATTATCAATACTTAGTTGTGTCCAAATGATGGTTCAGAATGTTGGAAGTCTTCAATGACAGCTGTGAACTTCTGCTTTCATCAGGTGGCATAACAAGCTGTTCAGATGGTACAAGTAACCGTGACAGCTTTCGACTGGATGACGATGGCCCCTATTCAGGACCATTCTGCGGCCGTGCCAGAGTGCATACGGATTTCACACCAAGTCCCTATGACACTGACTCCCTCAAAATCAAGGTGAGAGGACACCATATCCCACCTTTTGAATGTTTGTCAAATGCTGGTTATATGATCTGTTACAAACGAGTATAAGCAATGGGAAGACAGGGTGTGAGTATGTTCTTACCAACAATAGAAGTGGAGACTGGCTTACAGCACTAAGAATTTGAATGAAGTAAGTGAGGTGGAGCCGGGATAGCAGTCTGTTCAGGCTAATAGCATAATTTGTTACTATGTAGACAATTCAGGTTCAAAATCTATCAGGGAGGAAGGGATTCTCTCCATTTTCATGAAATCCAAAGCCTCACAGTTGCTGAAGGTGTTCAACTCTGCCTGATACTTGCAGAAATAAAAATAACAAAATCAAAGAGAAGGAGAGAAGGTGCAAATGTCAGGCAAGAATGTAGCAGAGCAAAGGCCTTGGGAACGAGGCTTCGTAAGGCAACCCCAGTACTTTATATTTTTGTTTTTATTTTTATTTCCATAGGCTATTGGGTAACAGGTAGTGTTTGGTTACATGAGTAACTTCTTTAGTAGTTATTTGTGAGATTTTGGTGCACTCCTCACCCAAGCAGTATACACTGCACTATATTTGTAGTCTTTTATCCCTCACCGCCTTCCCACTTTTTCCCCCTGGGTCCTCAAAGTCCATTATGTCATTCCTATACTTTTGCATCTTCATAGCTTACCTCCTGCTTATGAATAAGAACATATGAGGTTTGGTTTTCCATTCCTGAGTTAATTCACTTAGAATAATAGTGACCAGTTTCATCCAGGTTACTGCAAATGCCATTAATTCATTCCTTTTTATGGCTGAGTAGTATTTCATCATATTATTTATATTTATATATATATGAGATATATATATATATATATCTCACAGTTTCTTTATCTACTCATTGACTGATGGGCATTTAGGCTGGTTTCACATTTTTGCAATTACAAATTGTGTTGCTATAAACATGTGTGTGCAAGTATATTTTTCATATAATGACTTCTTTTCCTCTGGGTACTCAGCAGTGGAATTGCTGAATCAAATGGTAGTTCTATTTTTAGTTCTTTAAGGAATTTCTACACTGTTTTCCATAGGGTTGTACTAGTTTATATTCCCACCAGGTGTGTAGAAGTGTTCCCATTTCACTACATCCATGCCAACAATTTTTTTTTTTTAATTTTTCTGATTACGGCCATTCTTGCAAAGGTGGCTTTGCATTGTGGTTTTGATTTGCCTTTCCCAATCATTAGAGATGTTGTGCATTTTTTCATGTTTGTTGGCCATTTGTATATCTTCTTTTGAGAATTGTCTATTTATGTCCTCAGCCCAATTTTGATGGGATTGTTTTTTTTCTTGTTGATCTGAGTTCACTGTAGATTTTGGATATTAGTCCTTTATCAGATGTAGAGATCGTAAAGATTTTTTCCCACTCTCTGGGTTGTCTTTTACCTTTGCTGACTGTTCATTTTGCCATGCAAAAGCTCTTTAGTTTGATGAAGTCCCAGCAATTTATCATTGTTTTTATTGCATTTGTTTTTGGGTTCTTGGTCATGAAATCTTTGCCTAAGCCAACGTCTGGAAAGGTTTTTCCAATGTTATCTTCTAGAAGTTTTATAGTTTCAGGACTTAGATTTAAGCCTTTAATCCATCTTGAGTTGATTTTTTGTATAAGGTGAGAGTTGAGGATTCAGTTTTATTATCCTACATGTGGCTAGCCAATTATCCCAGCACCATTTGTTGAAAAGGGTGTCCTTTCTTTACTTTATGTTTTTGCTTGCTTTGTCAAAAATCAGTTGGCTGTAAGTATTCGGGTTTAATTCTGGGTTCTCTATTCTGTTCCATTGTTCTATGTGCCTATTTTTTATACTAGTACCATGCTGTTTTGGTGACTATGGCCTTATAGTATAGTTCGAAATTAGGTAATGTGATGCCTCCAGATTTGTTATTTTTGCTTAATTAAGTTTGCTTTGGCTATGGAAGCCCTTTCTTTTGTTTCATATGAATTTTAGGATTTTTTTTTTTTAATTCTGTGAAGAATGATGGTGGTATTTTGATGGGAATTGTGTTGAATTTGTAGATTGCTTTTGGCAGTACAGTCATTTTTACAATATTGATTCTACACATCCATAGGCATGGAACATGTTTCCATTTGTTTGTGCTGTCTATGATTTCTTTCAGCAGTGTTTTGTAGTTTTCCTTGTAGAGGTCTTTCCTTGGTTAGGTATATTTCAATGTTTTTCTTTTATTTTTTTTATTTTGCAGCTATTGTAAAAGGGGTTGAGTTCTTGATTTGATTATTAGCTTGGTTGCTGCTGGTGTATAGAAAAGCTACAGATTTTTGTACATTAATTTTGTATTCAGAAACTCTGCTGAATTCTTTTATCAGTTCTAGGAGCTTCATGGAAGAGTCTTTAGGGTTTTCTAGGTAAATGATCAGATCATCAGCAAACAGTGACAGTTTGACTTCCTTTTTAGTGATTTAGATGCCCTTTTTTTCTCTTGTCTGATTGCTCTCGCTAGGACTTCTAGTACTGTGTTGAAGAGGAATGGTGAGAGTGGGCATCCTTTCCTTGTTCTAGTTCTCAAAGGGAATGCTTTCACCTTTTCCTCATTCAGTATTATGCTGACTGTGGGTTTGTCATAGATGCCTTTTATTATATTGGGGCATGTACCTTGTCTGCCAATTTTGCTGAGAATTTTAATCATAAAGAGATGCTGGATTTTGTCAAGTGCTTTTTCTGCATCTATTGAGATGATTGTGTTTTTTGTTTGTTTTTTGTTTGTTTTTTGTAATTCTGTTTATATGGTGTATCATGTTTATTGATGTGTGTATGTTAGCCCATCCCTGCATCCCTGGTATTAAACCCACTTGATCGTGGTAGATTATCTTTTTGATATGTTGTTGAATTATGGTTAGCGAGTATTTTGTTAAGAATTTTAGCATCTGTGTTTATCAGGAATATTGGTCTGTTGCTTTCTTTTTTGGTTATGTCCTTTCCTGGTTTTGGTACTAGGGTGATACTGGCTTCATAGAATGATTTAGGGAGGGTTCCTTCTTTCTCTATCTTGTGGGATAGTGTCAATAGGATTGGTACCAATTCTTCTTTGTCTGGTAGAATTCTGCTGTGAATCAGTCTGGTCCTCAACTTTTTTTTTATTGATAATTTTTAAATTATCATTTCAATCTCACTGATTGTTATTGGTCTGCTCCAAGTATCTAACTTTTTTTTTTTTTTTTTTTTTTTTTNGGTTGTATTTTTCCAGGAATTTAGCCATCTCTTCTAGTTTATGCATGTAAAGGTGTTTGTAGTAGCCCTGAATGATCTTTTGTATTTCTGTAGTGTCAGTTATAATAGCTTCTGTTTCATTTCTTATTGAGCTTATTTGAAATTTCTCTTTTCTTTTCTTGGTTAATCTTGCTAATGGTCTATTAATTCTATTTATCTTTTCAAAAAAGCATCTTTTTGTTTCTTTTATCTTTTGTATTGTTTCTGTTTCCATTTTATTTCGTTCTGCTCTGATCTTGGTTATTTCCTTTCTTCTGCTGTTTTTGGGTTGGGTTTGTTCTTGTTTCTCTAGTTCCTTGTGGTATGACCGTAGACTGTTTGGGTTCTTTCAGACTTTTTGATGTAGGTGTTTAGGGCTATGAACTTTCCTCTTGGCACTGCCTTTGCTGTGTCACAGAGGTTTTGATAGGTTGTGTCACTATTATTGTTCAGTTTGAAGAATATTTTAATTTCCATCTTGAGTTCATTTTTGACCCAATGATTATTCAGGAGTAGGTTATTTAATTTCCATGTATTTGCATGGTTTCGAAGATTCCTTTTGGAGCTGATTTCCAGTTTTATTCCACTGTGGTCTGAGACAGTGATTGATATAACTTCAATTTTTTTGATTTATTGAGGCTCATTTTGTGGCCTATCATAGCATCTAACTTGGAAAAAGTTCCATGTGATATTGAATAGAATGTATATTCTTCAGTTGTTGAATGGAACGTTCTGTATATATCCGTTAAGTCCATTTGTTCCAGGGCATAATTTAAATCCATTGTTTCTTTGTTGACTTTCTGTCTGATGATTTGCCTAGGCCATCAAGTCCCCCACTATTATTGTGTTGCTGTCTGTCTCATTTCTTAGGTCCATTAGTAATTGCTTTATAAATTTGGGAGCTCCAGTGTTAGGTGCATACATGGTTAAGATTGTGATATTTTCCTGTTAGACAAGGCCTTTTATCATTATATAATGTCCCTCTTTGTCTTGTTTAACTGCTGATGCTTTAAAGTTTGTTTTGTCTGATATAAGAATAGCTATTCCTGCTTACTTTTGGTGTCCATTTAGACTCTAGCAAGGCCAGGGAAGTTTTCCTTAATTATTTTCCCAAATATGTTTTCCAAATTTTTAAATTTCTCTTTTTCCTCAGGAACACTGATTATTCTTATTTTTGGTAGTTTAACATAATCCCAAACTTCTTGGAGGCTTTGTTACCTCTCTTCTGGATCTAGCCACCCAGCAAGTCTACCAGGCTCCAGGCTGGTACTGGGGGTTGTCTGCACAGAGTTCTATGATGTGAACTGTCTGTGGGTCTCTCCGCTACGGATACCAGCACAATATTTGGGTTGTCTTCCATGTACTGAAGGAGGAATCCACTTCTTTCATGGGGTCTGTAGGTCCTCTCAAGTTTCCTGATTTATTTCTGTAATTGTTCTGGAGCAAAAATTCATTATGCGAGCTTCCACTCATTATTCTTTCTGCCCAAGTTGGAGCTACAATCCAGTCCTGCCTCTTGTCTGCTGTGATGCCCCAGAAAAGTCTAGTACTTTTTAAGTTGATTGTTATGAGTAACCAGAGACCTTTCTCCCATTGGTATTTCCTCCTGAATTCCCTCTTCTTACTCTTTTCCTCTGTATTCATTTCCTAATGCTGTGTAACACATTGCCCTAATCTCAGAGGCATCAAACAACACAAATGTGTTTCTCACAGTTTCTGTAGGTCATAATTGTGCACATGGCTCAATTGAGTTCTAAGCAGGCTGTGATCTCACCTGAGGCTCAGGGTCCTCTTCTGAGTTCGCTGGCTATTGGCAGAATTCAGTTCTTTGTGGTCATAGGACTGAGGATACCATTTTCTTGCTGGATATCAATTGGAGGCCATTCTCAGCCCCTAGATTCCACCAGCTAGGGCCTTCTTTACAATCTGGCAGTTTGCTTTTTCAGGGTGAGCAGGAAAAAGCTCACTCAGGCTTTAATATTCTTTCTTTCTTTTTAAGTGATCCTACCTGATTTGTCAGACCCACCAAGATAATTTTCCTTTCAGTTAACTCAATATCAAATAATTTAGTACAATAATTGGATCTGCAAAGTCCCTCCTATCATGTAAGGGTAACATAATCATGATTATGAAATCCATGTAAGCAGTTTTCATAGTTCTGCTTACACTCAAGGGGAACAGTCGATTACAATAGCACAAAGAGAAGACGGCTTTGTGCTAAAGAATTCATAGATGTTAAATTAATTCTTTCTAGTATCACAAAGTGCTAAAAGTCAAAGGACATAAAGTATGAATTTTCTATATTGTTAACACTTAACCAATGTTAACTAATAATTATGATATATTATGGAGTATTTATATTATTATTTAACAGTTAAGGTCTTGATCCCTTCCATACTATCAAATCACAGCAAGCTTAACTGGAGAATAAAACATGTACTGTTCCCCATAGTAAGCTCCTTAGTCATGTATATGGAATGATCTGATTTCTAAGTTCAAGTCTTGGGGAAATGATATTGTAATCTAGTAACCATTGTGGAAGAGAGAAATAGAAGGAAATAAACACAGCACAGTTTGACTCAGGATAGCCTTTCAACTTCCCTACAATACCATGCCAGGGTGCCACTGCTGCTGCTGCCTCAGGTGAGTTTTTGTGAAGCTCTTATAGGACACAATAACAATTCCCCAGTTACCCATGAAGATTGAAATACTATTATTTCCATCAAGGGTTTTATCCAAAATGAAACTGAGTCTTTGCTTGATGAACTGTGGGCTTTCCTGGAATGTGCAGGTATATATGTTTAAAGAATAATTTGCAAATTTACAAGTCTCAAATATAATAGGAAGGATGCAGTAAAGGGTTTCCATGCCTAGAAACTTTCTAGAGCTTTGGGAGAGCTTCCCAGTCTCCCTAGCTGATGCCATCCAGCCTATGATTTTATTCCCTTTCCTTAAAGGCAGAAAGACCTAGCTTAATGGATCACAAGACTAGACAGGCAGATGATCACAAAGTAGAAAGACAAGATAGTTCAGTCACAGTGAATTATACCATTACAAGTAAAATCTGTTTTTTAGATGGAAGAACACACATTCCTAGAGCAGCAAGAAAAATATTTTTAGTAGCAGACTTGATGCTTAGTTTGTTTGAGGGTAGACGCTAAAAATGGGCAAAAATATTAGAATCCATAAAGTCCTCTCTGGGGCAGAAACTTTTGTCTCAAAGGAGGAGCTATGACTCTTAAACCTAGGCATCATATTTGCATAGAAATAAATTTTGTTTACAAATAAATATCCCCATGAAGTTTTCTACTTTTGCCAATAACTAGCAGCTTATAATTATCATCTTAGATGTGAGTAAAGAAAAAGACCAATTGTTTTGTCCATACCAATGTGATTCATTCATACTTCAATTAAAACTTTGCAGTGAGCTCATTCTAAATGTTATCTCCTCTTAATAAAAGGAGGGCATGAATACCTTAACAAGAATTATTTACCATAATTTAAACTTAGTGTACACATACTTTTATATGACTTCGGTACAATTTATTTAGATAGATGAAATACTGGAGATGGGTTTATCTTATACTATAGATAAATTTTTCAGATGCACTAGAAACACATAGAGTAACAGACTTCTCCTTCATCTCTGTCCCCAGCTGGGGAGTACCTCCAGGAATGGTGATTTGAGCTTTGTTACATATACATTGCTTTGAAAGTACAAATCATAAGGGCATCATTTTTTAGTTCAGATAACTTAGACTTGAGTCCTGGTTCTGTTATTAACTTCCTTTAAGCTCTTGGGAAGTCATTTAATATATCTGTTTCCTTTTCTGTAATATTTAAATCAGTAATGACGATACCTCCCTTATGTATCTAAGTGATGTGTTATGAGCAAAAATAGAGTAGGCAAAAGTGTTTTGTAAATTACACTATGTTCTACAGTTATAAGTTGACAAATTGATATGATAACAGAAGCATAAACATGTCATCAAACTGTGTGAGGGCTTTTTGTCAAGAATGTTTAAGTTTTCTTCCTTATACCTAGTAAATAACTTCTTTGAATTTATTTTTTAAGACGGGATCTCACTCTGTTGCCCAGGCTAGAGTGCAGTGACACATTCACAGCTCACTGTAGCCTTGAACTCCTCCCACTTTGGCCTACAGGCACATGCTACCATTCCAGGCTAATTAAAAAAAAATTATTTTTGTAGAGATGAGACCTCACTTTGGCACCCAGGCTGATCTTGAACTCCTGGCCTCAAGCAATCCTCCTGCCTTGGCCTCCCAAAGTTCTGGGATTATAAGCATAACCGACCATATCATCAGCCTGAACTTTTGAGAGAAGTGGATGTTTAGATTTATTTCTATTATATCTGAACCCCTTTAGCATAATGTCCTCATTATTCTAGTTTTCTATGATTTCATTCTTTCTATCAATTTTTATAGCATCATAGTTCTCCGAAACCTAATCTGTATGGATTTCTTTTTCCTTAGAAAGGAGACATCATAGACATTATCTGCAAAACACCAATGGGGATGTGGACAGGAATGCTGAACAATAAAGTGGGAAACTTCAAATTCATTTATGTGGATGTCATCTCAGAAGAGGAAGCAGCCCCCAAGAAAATAAAGGCAAACCGAAGGAGTAACAGTGAAAAATCCAAAACTCTGCAGGAGTTCCTAGAGAGGATTCATCTTCAGGTGAGCAAATCTATGATCTGTTTGCTTTTGGTGGCATGTAAATGGAAAAATTGAGGAGCATGGATCAGTATTTGTGTTGTGCTGTTTAAAAATACAAATCTTACAAGCAAAGGAAAACCTGTTTTCCTAGAAGAGCTCTTATTTCTCCTTTATTACTTTTATTATGCAAGGACAAGTCTTGGTATAATATCCCTTGGACTAAACCTTAATAGTATTTAGCAGTGACAATAGAGATTAATGTTGAGAAAGTGCAGTGAAAAATAAAAATACCTTAGAAGAACAAAAGGCCCTAAGAAAATGTCTAAATTAGAATGATAAAGTATAAGGAATAAAATAAGTCTAAAAAAGTGAAAGGAAAAATGAAAAGAGAATTGTATTTTTTACAAAGCAGAAATCAAAATCAAGTTGAGAGAAGATAACTGAATATAATCATTTTAAAAGTAATTTGAAGGAAATAGTGATCATCAAGCCCCATAATGGTTGTGTTAAGTGTGTTGTCTGTATCTATAACCCAATTATTATTTTCTTGTTATATTAGCAAAATTCTTTTGAAATGTTTACCTTGTTAAATGGCATGTACAGAAAATACACCTAGTATCAATCAATTTACAGTTTTTTAATCTATTTCTAAAATCAACTGAGCAGTACTTTGATAGTTTTCAAAATTCATCAAGGCAATAGTCAATTACACTTTTCTTAATTTTTTTTTTCTGAATTATCTAGTTATGTTTCTGTCTATAAACACAGCATCTAAGCTTTCCTGTATTGCTATTGGTACACCCCAAATGAGATATTCCTTAGAGAATGTACGGGTTGGCATCTTGCCTCTGCCTCTTGTTTGTTCTGTGACCTGTGTGAAAACCAAGGGCTAAGAGACTGAAATAACTTGCCCAAGAAGAGTTAAATGCTTCTGTGTCACAACAGGAATTCTTGTATTCTCTATTCTAATTCAGTGCCAAGAATATACTTTTTTAAAGAAAGAGTTGTCACTCCTCTTGTTTTCCTTCCTTTTATTTTTTTGTTAAAAAGTGCTGGTCATAAGTTCTTCCTGATTACTTAAAACTTTTAGACTTCCTCTTATTCTATTTTAGAATTAAAATAAGGATATTGAAATTAGATGAAGTAAACTGGGAGAAATCTTTACGGAAGTTGAAAAAGCACTCCACTTAATATTTGAAATCAGAAACCTCTGAATTTTAAACTAATATATAATGATGCAAATGATGGGCAAAATATACATTCTGAGAAAACAATTCTTTTACCCAACTATGGTGCTTCTATGCTTAATAAAAGCTTTCAATTAAATAGAAAGTCTAGAATTCCTTTGGTTTATATAATGCCTTTCAACCAAAATGCTACAACAAATTTTTAATGTAGAATTACATCTGTTTCAAACTCATTTTTTAACCTACCCCAAGGTTTTGAGAGTAGAAGTTTTTGCGATTATGCAAACAAGAAGAGATATAGATTCTGAAATATTACTGTAGCATGCTAGTCTGCTAGAGGCATTTCACTGATAGCCTTAAAGTAATGCTAGTTCCATCAATTTAGTTGGTTGAGAAGTGAAAAAATGCCAAATGGATGCATGATCCAACTATTTAATTTATCCATTATTTGGAATTGGATACTTAAGGTAATGATTTCTTCTTTACACTTGGCCATACGAAAGGTGAGAATTAAACAACATAATCATTTAAGAGCCCTGGAGTTCATATGTCAAAAACTAATACAAGTAAAGTTAAGCATAAGTTCTACTGGTACCTTTGGTTTCCATATGCATCTCTACACTTTCTTTAAAGAGAACTAAACATAAAATATTTGAATCTGACTAATTTGCATTATTTGTGTTTTTTGTCCCACAGGAATATACCTCAACACTTTTGCTCAATGGTTATGAGACTCTAGAAGATTTAAAGGATATAAAAGAGAGTCATCTCATTGAATTAAATATTGAAAACCCAGAAGACAGAAGGAGGTTACTATCAGCTGCTGAAAACCTCCTTGATGAAGAAAGTAAGTGTGCACACCTATTCTTCTCCCCAGCTGATAATTACAGTTAAATATAAAAAGCATAATCAGTAAAAACAAGCCCCAGTTTTATTACTGAGATCATAAAAGCATGCTTTCCCATAAAATAAGTATTTTCATATAAATCTGAAAACAATAACTCTGGTCAAATATATAATTAGAAAGAAACGTATTTCCTTATCAGACTCAAGAAATGAAGGGACTTTTCTGGGTACCTCATTTCCATTCTGCAAAGCTACTAATTTACATGCAAGTGGATGCTGGCATTCCCAAAGACTGAGGGAGTTAAGAGACAAATGTTTAGTAAGAACATAAGTCATTAGTGAGAAATGTCACACATGGCTTCTGTAGAACACCACAGAATGTGGCTTTAAGATAATAAGCCTTCATGCCACACAGGAAAATTCATTCATTATTATATAGTCACATATTGTACGTGTTTAAGTACTCTTTCAAAATGTTATAATAGCTTGAAAAAATATTCAGCACTTTTAGTATCTGAGATGGTTCTCTGTATTTGTAAGTATAAACTGAAGATGAAATAATACACGCAGATTCACAGAAAACTGGCTACCCCAATCAGGCTTGTAAAGATAGGATGACCTATCTTTACAATTCCCAGACATTATTCCCCTGTATAAAACTTTAGAAAATGATACTTGATACTTGAAGGTCACTAGAAGTTGATCACTTAATGATAGCCAGTAAGGTACAAACATACACAGAGCCAAATTCTGGAAGATGAAAAATGGAAAAAAAAAATACAGATTCAACCAGTGCTTCTTGTCAACACATTACCCTGAGATTTTTCTTATTTTAATCTTATGGTCTAAAGTCGTATTAGAATATACATGTCAAAAAGATGCATATTGCATGTTAGGCTATTCTGACTGAAAGCTATTTATCTTATATAAAACTGCTTTGCTCAAGAAATAAAGAAGAATGACTTCCATTTTTTGATAAGATGGTGAGTTCTGATGATTTGGCACCATGCTGGCTGCATGCTTATTTTTATCTATTTTCTACTCTGTGAATCATATCTCCTACAACCATGCTAAAGATTAAATGTACAACCTTCATGTATCTTGAATGATAAAGACCTTGAATATGGTTATATAAAACTGAGACATTTAAAAACAAATGCTTGTTACAGGTTAAAAATAGTTAGCTTCTTTTTAAGAATGGGGCATGCAAATTTTCTAGGATATTATGTATGCATTTTATTTTGATCATTGTATAATGTCAGTTTGAGGAATGGCAATAAATTCCTAGTTCAGTGTTTCATTGTTAGATTGAGAACTTAAAAAGGTTTGCTTTGCTAATCATTCAATATACAAGTTGAGGAAAATGGGTACATGTCTTGGGGATAAGGGCTACAATTTTGAGATAATGTAGAAAAGACAAGTCCTATGTGAGACTTGAATATATCTAGAAGGACCAAGAGAATGGGGTACAAAACATGGAAAAAACAGACTTCTAAGATTTAAAGCAAAAAAAAAAAAAAAAAAAATCCTTTTCTCTTCTTAGCCCAAGATAGATAGCATTGTACCCACTTTGACCTTGCAACTGTAAATTGGATTATACTTTTTTTTAATTATTATATTTTAAGTTCTGGGATACATGTGCAGAATGTGCAGGTTTCTTACATAGGTATACACATACCATGGTGGTTTGATGCACCCATCAACCCTTCATCTACATTAGGTATTTCTCCTAATGCTATCCCTTCCCACCCCCCTCCCACCCCGAGAGGCCCTAGTGTGTGATGTTCTCCTCCCTGTGTCCATGTGTTCTCATTGTTCAACTCCCACTTATGAGTGAGAACATGCAGTGTTTGGTTTTCTGTTCCTATGTTAGTTTGCCGAGTATGATGGTTTCCAGCTTCATCCATGTTCCTGCAAAGGACATGAACTTAGTCTTTTTATGGCTACATAGTATTCCATAGTGTATATGTGCCACATTTTCTTTATTCAGTCTATATTGATGGGCATTTGGGTTGATTCCAAGTCTTTGCTATTGTAAACAATGCTGCATTAAACATATATGTGTGCATGTGTCTTTATAATATAATAATTTATAATCCTTTGGGTATATACCCAGTAATGAGACTGCTGAGTCAAATGGTATTTCTGATTCCAGATCCTTAAGGAATTGCCACACTGTCTTCCACAATGGTTGAACTAATTTACACTCCCACTAACAGTGTAAAAGTGTTCCTATTTCTTCACATCCTCTCCAACATCTGTTGTCTCCTGACTTTTTAATGATCGCCATTCTAACTGGTGTGAGATGGTATCTAGGTCACTGCCTGGCAGGAGGCAAAGATGCTTCTCCAACAAGCTGATAAAAGGGCTGGCATGTGGTGTTAGAGCTGGTCACAGGATTACCTCTAGAGGAAGATAACCACAATGGGGTTCTGCAATCCCAGCAAGACCAGCATAGATATTTGGAATTTGTCCTGTGTTACATTAGAACTGAAAGGAATTAGGTTATCAGTTCCCTCAACTGGGAATCTAGGTAAGGTTATAGGGAGAAGAAAAATTGGGGTGAGATGCAGCACTTGAAGGGACAAGAGGGCAGGATCCGTTTATTTTGTACACTTTGGGGTTTTTCTATTTATCATATGAATTTAAAAATGTTTTGTTTGCTTTGGGAGTAAATACTCCCAAATAAAAAAGAGAACAGAGACAGAGGAGAGGGGGAGAGAGAGAGAGAGAGAGAGAGAGAGAGAGAGAGAGAGAGAGTGTGTGTGTGTGTGTGTGTGTGTGTGTGTGTGTGTGTGTTTGTTCCATAAACTCAATCTTCAAGTCCCCTTTGCCTTACTCTGAGGTGCCTCTTTAGAATAATAAGTTAGTTTACTGTTGTGTATAGTAAACATTTTCTCTTTATTCTGCACTTGCTCCTCATTTTCCACATTTAGAAGCACTTAGCTGTGTCTTATAATTCTGTCTATGAGAATATGTACTATTGCCCTTGGGGAAAATGGGTGGTGGAAATATCTTGTTTTCTCTAGAGTACAGGGATAATTAAATTTAAAATTGAAAAAAAAATAAGTAACAGAATAAGCAAACTTTGCAGAATCTGTATACAATGCATTTGAGGTACCTGCAAACTCTGGTTACAGTGCCAAATGAGGAGGAAGGGGAAGGGGTGGGTTGTGTGCCAGAATGTTGATACCAGCTGTGGTCACAGCAACCCCTCGTTGCTCAACCATTCCCCAGTTGTGCCTTCCTGCCTGCCTGCCTGCCTGCCCAAATCGATGCAGGGCAAATGGTGGGCCACAGCCAGGAGCCTGGAACACAAGCTGTCAGCAGGGGAGATTTGTAGTTATGCCAAGCAGCAGTCCAGCAGTTGGCCCAAGAGCGTGCCAGCATAGCCTGGTGCCCTAGCCCCTGACATATGTACCTGGAGTTTCCAACCCACTTGCCATATGATTTGCATCTAGATTCAAGAAACATACAGCTTTAAAGAAAAGCTATGCTAGCTGTCCACACAGACAAAGTAGAGAAAGCATGCAGGCATTTTACTTTATGTATTTATCAATACGTATTTAACATCCATAGTCATAGTTGTTTCCCCTCATATAATTTAATTTCTTCAGATTTCTTTTTAACTTTACCCCCAAACTTTTATTTATGATGGATGCCCTATTCTATATCATATAATAAACAATAAAGTATAAGGATTTTTACTTTTTTACCAGAAAATTTCCAATGGAAAGTGTTCACAGATTTTTCACTTTAGTCACATAAGGACATCTCTAATGCCCTACATACAGTGCACTCCTCTCTAATGCTCGTACATATAGAGCACTCCTGTACCTGTGTTTATATTGCATTGTGATTGTGTACTACATATAGCTTTGTAATTATTGCCCTGGCCAAACAGGACCGAATCTTCTATTATCATTTGCTTTCTGAAAGCCCCTGGTCCTGTGCTTTGCATTAGTGGATGGTTAACAATTACACGTAAAATGAGTAAATCATAAATGAGTAGGTCAAAAGATCCCCAAATAGTAAGCAAGTCTTCTATCATTATTATAAAAATGAAGTTGCCTGCAATCCCACCTCACACATACAAGTATTTTTAATAAGAAGATCGGTATTGGTGTATCTTGTCAAGATTTAGTTTATGAATATGCTAACCATGCATGTGTGCAAGAGTGTAAATAAGTACATTTTTGGAGGGCAATAACATAAAACACAAAGTTTAAAATATACACACTTTTATATCCAGAAGTTCCAGTTCTAACTATTTGTCCTAAGTTCAAGATACAAATGCATAAAAATACTAGCTAAAAATCTAGTCATTTTAGATAATAACTAAAAACAATAGGGACTTCCATCAGTAATTAGCCTGTTAAGTGAATTAAGATATACCCAAACAATAAAGTAGTTTTGAAGGCGTTAAGAAAATGATATAGCATGCTGTTTACTGATATCAAAGTTTTTCCAAAACATGTTAAATGTGAAAGCAAATATCAGATCAATAATATGAAGAATAATCCTATAATTATAGACATACTGAAATTAGTTTTGTACTATATCCAGGGAAGGCAAAATTTTGTCTCTGCCCTCTTAGGCTTTTTAAAAGAGCTGATCCTGAAAATTAAATTGACATAAGACGGACCAAAAGGAAAAAATCACAGAAATTTATTTAACACAAATTTCATGTGGCAAGGGAGCCCTCACAGGAAATGAAGACCCAAAGATACAGCTAGAGTTGAACATTTGTATACTGAATTAGACAAAGAATAATAAATTGTGAAAATGTGACAAGTCACAGAAGCTTGAAATAGGGTAGCTAATTAGGTGAAGTGGTTAGATAAGGGTTTGTCTAACATGGCTTGTTTCTAACATGGCTTGTTTGTACAGATTCCCCTCAGCCTCAACTTTCTGTCCTTGATGATAGGAATGATACTTTCCTTCAGGTAGAGGGAAGATAGCTTTCACATGGAAATTTCATCTGCTTTTAAGAAACAGAAG